AGAAGGTTTATTTGATACCCTACACATGAACACATAGCAGCAGTAATATGATTGAATACTACTTTACATGGACTTATATATTAATGAGGATATTTCAGCATCGTTGTCATGGCATTGTAGAGAATATTTCCTTATAAAGGTGAACAAACGAATAAAGGGAAATTAAATAAAAAATGGATGATGGAGCTTATAAAGGTTATTTATTTTTGCACTTCCAATTCGTGACTTTTCGATACTTAATTTGTTCAAGATAAAATTCCGATAAGGCGGCATTTTGTTAATGGATATAACTTACTTTATCAGTCGGTTTTTCTTCAATTCTGTGACACACCCAGCATTAATTGCATTAGAAATCCTCATTTTTCTTCCTGCGTCTCTTAAAATACAAAAATTAAGTCTAATTCAATGTGTGATTAAAGGCATTTGTTTGTGCTGATCATTAATTGTCCTTTACTGAGGATAACATGACATATAGTGTATTGTTCGTGGACAAGTTCGAGGAATTTTCCGTTTCTTTCAACAATAACCATCAGCAATAAGAATAACCATCTAATCCCAGAATAAACGCATGAATCATAAATAAGAAAAGTAAGGGAATATCGGATGGAGCCAAAGGTATGTCGAGATGGCTGAGACGACCTGCCTGATCTGAATGAATGTTCATTACCTAACATTTCCAATAAAATCTCCAATGGAGAAGCTGTAGAAGGACTAAAGTAATCACTTTAGAGTCAGGCCATAAGATATTTCCATAATACAGTGCAAAACATCCGCTGTTTTGATTACTTAGGCTGTTTTTAGCTCAAAACAACGACCTCCCAAGGCGAAGTTATATTGCAAATCGTTTCCACACTTTTTCAGTCTCTTTATTCAGAACAAAGTAACTTTATCCAAAAAATCTTTGGTTTCAAATTTCATAGAAACTTTCTCAACGGGAGTACGAGACGTCTTTGTTTAATATAATGCTCATGTTTTTTTAAAAAATTTAAAGTTTCTACAATGGTCTAGGAAATTATCAATACTTCCGATGTCAAGAGAAAGTCCATCTCCTGCATATCCGTCCTTGAAAATTGACTTTCATTGTTGAGGTTTGTTGACCTTGTAATCCGTTTTAAGTAATTTCAATAGAACTCATAAGTTCATCGTAACACTTCTTGATCATCTTCCCAAAAGCGGAAGGTTAATTCTTTATATTTTACTCCAGCGTGAACACTTCGCGTGTTCACCGTAGGTCGTCTCGAAGGTGGTCTCATTAATTACTGTTGTTCGTGTTTTTTCTCGTATGATCAAATTATCTTGATCCAGAACTATTATATCAGCTTTAAGAAATAATGTGAAATAACTGCACACCGAGTTATAGGATTATTAACTATTTCCTCGTAATTGCTACTAAAAGGAGTCAGGTTAATCTCGTTGTAGTGCGCATGTGCTGTGGGATTGTAAGAGATAGAGGAGAAGAAGTAAGGTCACTCCATGGAATAACTTCTAGTAAGTATCATAACGGAAATTCTTAAATGTGCCTCAAATCTTATGCTTCTAGTCGTATATTTCGAATATACTACAAATTCGTACCGATTCAGTCGGTTTATCGAATCAATCTACAGATTCATAGCGATTTTTTTTTAATCATTCTACGAATTCACGGCCATATTTTCATTCTAAAAAATAGTTTTCCCTTATATTCGTTCCTTACTTTTTGTTTTCCTTTCTCAATTTTTACACTTAGGTTTAGATTTAGGTTTAGGTTTCAAGAATTCAGTGCAATGCTAATTCCTCTTTTATCTATCGCTTGTTCTTTGTCTATATAAGCGCTCTTGAATATTTTATAGTACGAGCGCTATATGAATTTTAGCAATTATTGTTATTATTATTTATTCCTAGTGGCTTTGCCATTAAAATGTGCATTTTAGAAGGGCATTGAAAACACGGAGTTTGTGAGTGAGAGACATAGAGACAGAGAGTGAAAGAGAAAGAGAGAAAGAGAGAGTTGTAAGGTAATCATATAGCAAAGAATAATTGACAAATAATCTATACGAAAATAATAATGACAACACTATCAACAACGATAACTAGAACATTGTTGTTGGCGGAACAAGAACAAAAGTAGGAAATGTTCCCGGAGAAAAGATTTTGATTAGATAAAACTGATTACGAGAGAAGAAAAAAAAAAAAAATAGAATTCTGGGGGGAAATTGGTATTTTTAGTTCCCAACATGTAACGTAAGTTGGAAACTGCTAGAAATCTTACATAGATGAAAGACTCGCATTGAAAAAGATATATAATAAAAGTTTTGATAATGATACATGCCCGTGGGGGGGGGGGACTCCCTTTGTTCAGGTGGTAAAGGTGATCGGCAGTCGATTTTTAAAATGCCCCTGAAAGGTACGCATAAATGAAAAAGGCTCTTAAAACCAACCTGATTTCAAACCCTAAAAGGTACAGCTTTATTTCAGTAATTTACTATTAACCCCGGCTATCAACGCCGGTTTAACGAATGACAGGACAGCGTATAATAAGATTTCAGCGATGATCATATTAAAGAAATATTTAGTGCATCATTGTAAAGTAAACAGCGGCATAGCTTGGATAACGCCCATAATAAATGACCCCAAAAGGTACGGAGTTATGTTACGTAATTGACTTTTGAGCCGGAACCCCTAAAAGGTCCACACAGGGAACATTTTCAACCCTAAAAGGAGCACCGATCACCCCTACAACCTGAACAAAGGGAGTACCCCCCCCCCCCCCCCATATAATGGCGAGAAAATGTATTCGAGACGTCGTAACTAATTCTATTTTTAAATTTAGCCTCATAAGATCTAGAAGTTATATATTAATATTGGATATTATTTTCAGTAAATGGGAAATCAGTTTCTCCCTTTTACTATCCGTCACTATTGCAATTGGTTTTTGTCTTTAGACCTTTTTCGAATTCGTAAGACACCACTTGTCTAAATATTCTATTCTATTCTAGTGTTCAAGTTCAAGTTCAAGTTCAAATTCAAGTTTATTTTTACAAAAGAATGTCTATATTTACACAATTTATCACCCTCTCGCAAATAGCACTAAGCTAATCTAGGTGGGAGGCGATATATTACATTATATTACAGTGTATTCGTATAAATCATTTTGTTAAACTTAAACCTAAGTTCTCACAGCTGCTCCAATGGTTTTGAGTTGTTTTGAGTTTTGGCGGCGATGATGAAGATGATAACGATGACGATGGATTTTGTTTGATGATTTTTACAATAACTTACAAATTTCTCGCGCGCTGATTGGTTATTTTTTATCATTAATAAGAGGACAGACAGATAAAACTGACGTTAACGAGCGCGCGCTCTTTCCGTTGGTTGTTTTGATCACTAAGAATGAGAAGTTTTTATCGTTTTTGTTATTGTGAAAAACAAATAGACATCAGTTTTTTATGTGTCTGTCCTCTTATTGACAATAAAAACGGATGTCTATTTGTTAAGTTAACTATGTTGATGATGACTGTGCTAGTCAGTGCAGAACAATAACTATTCCAATTGGTCGCCATGTTTTTATTCGGCGTAAAGTCGAGACAGTTTTCCTCCATGGTCAGGGCCACACACTCAGGCTACGCCCTCGTGGCTGACGTTATATCTAATGCATTGATCCTCAAATACGCTTAATTACATGCTCTAACACTTAGGTATTTCTTACACTCATTAGACCCGGAGGAAACTAAGACTTCTAGCGTCAGAAAGACAAACCACAAAATCTAGGTCTATTTTCGTTGCGTTTCAAATACATTCAAGTCTAGTATCGACGGGTTTTGTCAAGTGCTTTCGTGATGGCATACCAAAACGCAGTCAGTGAAAATGAAAGCTTTCTGAATAAGACTAATTGTGTGCTTGCCACATAAACCGTAATACTGGTTGTGGTTGTCATACTTATTCAACCACTATCCAAGAACCGGCTATATATAGACAAGAGCGGATCCAGAGAAGATCCCTGGAGTCCAACGAGTTGTTTTCTTCTTTCAATTACTATATATTACATAGAATCTTAAATCTGATATCGTAAACCTTCTTTATTGAAAGTCATGACTCTAATGTAGGTTTATGGCTGGGATGTTAATGTGTTACGACTGGAACAGTGTATGTATGACGTCAAACATGACGTCACTTATTGAGTATAGGCTTTAAAAAAAACCTGGATCCGCCCTTAATAGATCCGCCCTTAGAATATGAACTAAGAGAAGAAATCCTACCTATATAGCCTTGTAAGTATCCTGTGCACAGTTTGATGCTATTTTTAGTTTGGAGATATTTTGAGCGAAGAACCTGATTGGTTGATTTCTTGAGGGTAGACGGCTTCCAGTCTTGCAGCAAACAAAGCCTGTGTTTTTGTCGTGGACGTAGCGAAATATGGCGCTTTTCGTGTCCTAAAACGAGGTATTAAAGGGAAGCATGATTATCGCGCGGGTATGGTAACGAGTTAAAAATAGCATCAAAGTGTGCACATGATGGGGCACGGGGATTCCTTCTCTTAGTTCATTTTCTCTTGAACCAAGTCTATGCTTTATCAATAGTCGTCGTTTGAACTAACTTATTCTGTTTGTTTGTTACTTTACAGCTGGATCATTATTGAGTATTATATATCTAACTACTTTGGTAAACCATCTTGCAAGACATAAATGATAACAGATAACTGCTAAACCAGCTTGGACTACACTAAAAAAAAAACAACAAATAAATGCAGAAAGACTGAAGTAATTTATCCCAAAGACAACCAAAGAAATAAAGTCAAAAAATATACTGCAAGCCACAAGGCCATCAAGCTCAACATTCCCAAGCAAATAATTGACATCGAAAAAAATTCATAGAATTGACTATGTTGAAGAGCAACCAATCAATGTCTAATAGCAGCCGAGCTTCTAACATATCAAACAATACTACAAACTCCAAAGACTCCGAATACAATCGATACATTGGAGTGATGTCATTCACCTTTCTCATTCTAATTCTCATTATATCTCTAGTGGGGAACATGCTGGTTATTTTGTCATTCAGAGCAGTTCAAAAACTTCGAACAGTGACAAACTTCTTCGTGGTTTCCCTGGCTGTAGCTGATCTTCTTATAGCGGTATTTTCCATGCCCATATGGGCCGCTCACCTCTTAACGGGACCAGATTGGAAATACAGTATCATGCTAATGAAGTTGTGGACCTGCGTCGATATTATGTGTGGCGTTGCCTCGATAATAAACCTAACAGCAATCAGCATTGAACGGTATATTTGTATTACATATCCATTGAGTTATCATCAGACAATGACACCTCACAAGGCCATGGCAATCATCATTGGTGTGTGGGGGTTTGCTTTTGCTATGGCGTCTGTAAAATTCATATTATGGAAGTATCCTCCACCATTGTACGAACTCATCATCGTCATCAGTTGTTTTATTTTACCATTTTTTATCATGTGTATTAGCTACAAAATGATCTTCCAGACAGCACGGTACCAAGCAAGGCAAATAGCACTTATGGTTAATGGCGGTGTCAAGAAGTTTTTCTTGTCTTCTGAGGTTCGCGCAGCGAAGACACTCGCAGTCGTGATGGGAGCATTCATCATCAGTTGGGGACCATTCTTTATCATGAATCTTATCTATGGATTTTGTAACCATTGTCTTTCCGCTGAAGCAGTTATGGTCGCCAAGTGGATGCATTATAGCAATTCAGTCTTTAACCCGTTTGTCTATGCATGCATGAATAAGGATTTTCGGGCCTCCTTCATCTCCATTCTGCTCAGCTGGAAAGTTTTCTTTCGTAAGAAGAAAAAAAGGCTTTCATTTCCACCGACCACAGACCCTTCAGAGCTCAGTCTCAACAACTCAGCCTAACACTATTCACTGCTTGCTGCATCATGGTGTGATACAAAAGACATGCCAACCATGTTGGCTAACATAACCATAACCATATCTAAAGCAAACTAATTAAGATGGCGGGTCTGGCGTCACATCACACACAACTTTGAAGGAATTCAAATGAAAGTCTATATTCCTTCAAAACTCTGTTTAAAACAAACTGATAATTTTAGATATTTTTAAAATGCTTAAAAACCTATATAAGATACAATGGAATTTGATAAAGAGAAAATAACAAGGGAGCAAACTAAACTACAGTGAATTTGATAATCTCAAATATTTTTTATTTATGAGACAATAGAGACAAACGAGAACAATAATAGGAACTTGGGGGGTGGGGAGGGGTTATACCGACCCCTCCCCCCTCTTACAGTTATTTGCACTGAAATCCTTAGTCGCGTCTGGGATCCACAGATAATATTTCGCGTTAGAGATAAAAGTCAATCTAATTGGAATTGTTCGTTTATTATTATCGCAAAAAAAAGGAGCCAGTTAACGTTGTAGTTGACAAGCATATAACAATTTCGTTTTTGCTAGGACGCGCAGCGCGGTAACCATCACGATATAGTGTGAGTTTAGTCGATAGCGTGTCTCATTAATAGGATGTCGTCATTCCCTTATTGTGATATATATTGCTGTTTCAGTCAAGCAAAAACTTTACTCCGATGACGAATTCGAGTCTTGCATACGTTAATTTGATACGTCATATATATATATTAACGGTATCTTGTAACGACAACAAAGCAACCTGTTAAATAGCTTCAAAAATATAGCTGTTTTACAACAAAAGCCTTATGTAATCATAATAATAAAGCGATCTAAAGGGAAACTGAATTGTATTAACAGACCATGTTACAAGACAACCTAAGGATGGAGAATAGAGTAGAAGAGGGTAGTGTAGGGTAAGGTAAGGTTGAATAGGGTAGGGTAGGATGGAGAAGGGTAGGGTAGAGTAGAATAGGTTAGAATGGGGTAGGTATAGGGTAGAATAGGTTTGGGTAGAGTGTGGTAGAGTGTGGTAGCTGAGGGTAGAGTAGGGTAGAACAGCGTAGTAGAGTACTAGGGTAGGGTAGAGAAGGGTGGGGGCGAAAAGTAAAAATCACATACTGATAACATCATTTAATCAATTAATGGCTTAGCGACGGAAACGCGTTGCGCATGCTCAATAAGTATGGAACGTTGCAATCTCGTACCCAGAGCCTGCGTTTCTTCTGGCCAGGAGACCAGGATTTCTTGGACTTCCGGTTCAAAAGCGCATGCGTTCAAAGACTTACCAAAGATTAAATACATTTTCCAGATTTCTAATTTTTCCTATGATCTTTACTTTGATTTTTACCTTGATTATTTTGATCGGTTATATATATCTCTTTTTCGAAAATTGCGCATGCGCCAAAAAATGGATTATGCCAGAGCCCTCGTTCTTCCCTGCAGGCCAGAAGAAACGCAGGCTCTGGATACGAGATTGGGAACGTTGGGTTTGTATGCTGACAATGAAAATAAAATCCAAATGAAACTTATATTTTAGTTATAAATTTATTTCATTTTTATTTATTCTTTCGTTGCTTCGAATGTTTGTTCATTATCCATCTTATAATTCATTACTCAAGTAAATTTTTTATACAATCAAAGAAACAGTCTTTATATCCTTCTTAATCTTATTGCTTTCAACTCAGTCGTGGGTATGTGCAAGAGTTGAATGGTATAGCTATTACGAGCCCAGAGGGTGTGTCTAGGGGGTCAGCCCCCCTCGTGTTAATCGTAGTATGGACAAATTATCTGGAGTATCACCTTCCTCTTTCGTTCAATATAAAACAATGATTCTCCTCTTTGATTAATAATATTGTCTTTCAGTTCAGTTGTTCTATGTTAATCTATGATATAACTATGACAGATCAATGCTGTGCCTATCATATTGAGTGCACGTCTTTTGGAAGGCATAATACAGTTTATTAAAACTGCAGTAGAATGGCTTTCGTATGAGTGGAAGAACTACAGCAAGTGTACCATAGTCCTAACTATGTTGTGATTGGATGATTTAAAAGAATATAGCAGGAAGCCATTTAAATGCTAGGTACCGTAAGTTTTCCATCGTAAGATTCTTATCAGAAGCCTCTTAAATATTACAGCATGTTAACGTTGTACCGTGTGCTGTAAGTCAATGCCGTATGTTTCCAACTCATAGGAAAAACATTCTTATGGAAAGCCATTTCGATGTTAAGGTCTGTCGTATACGAGCTGTAAGTCAGTACCGTACGTTTCCTACTATACTATTCTTATGGGAAGCCATTTCAATGTTACAACATGTTGTACCGCGCACGTGCTGTAAGTCAGTTCTGTAAGTTTCCCACTCATACGATAACCATTCCTATGGGAAGCCATTTCAATGTTACGGCATGTCCCACCGTGCACATGCTATAAGTCAGTACCGTACGTTTCCTACTCATACGCGATAACCATGAGAAACCTTTTGAGTGTTACATCATGTTGTAACGTATACATGCTTCTCTTTTAAAACAAGTTTCAGAAAATGTAGCCTTTAAAAAATAGGTTTCAAAACAGTCATAAACAGTTAACATTCTCATTTGGGGAACGAATATAATTTCTTACATGCAAAACCATTGCATTGGTCGTAGACATGTATGGCTGCCAAGAAACCCATCTATAGACCTATATATTAGTATGTATTATAAATATCAGCTCGTGTTATTTGACATCAAGAATACTATTGAGAAGGGGAGGGCCAAAACTATAAAACTTTTTGTTGGTTTGGACAACTCAGTCTACAGGAAATTTAGACATCATCATTAACTAATCACTGGTTAGTTTTAGAACATCATCTATTTTTAGTAACTAATTTTCATAATTTACAGAATAATATCAACCATAGCGAATGTTTCAATGCAAGCAAGAAAATCATTAACGTTAACACAAACACCAATGTTTGTTGTAACGATTTGATCATAGTTAATATGGTTTGATCTGGCTATTTCTTTAAATACGTTAATATAACTATTAAACAAGGTAAATTATTTCCTCAGAAAGAATCTTTTATACCCATATTTATAAAAAAAAAGGTGGTAACGTTTCGTTGCATACGATAGCCGAATGCCGCTATGGGCCGATGCTAATGCAATCAGCAAAAGGTGACAACGATTTGAATTTTTTTCAAGGTTTGTCTTGCGTTTTTCCAGCATATTTTTTTCTGTGCTAACATTATTTACATATGATCATAGTATGATATGTTCCACAATGCATTTTAAGCTTGGTATGCAACATTTATTACCAAGCAAGCAACAAACCTTCATCAACCATTTTTATAGCTGTGATGAATAAGAAACATAAAAGTATTCTACACTAAGATCGACACAGCGGGATTTTAAAAAACCTAATCACGATATTGTTTGTTTCCCAAAAGAGATAGGAAAATAAGTGATGAAAATGAGAGAGAAAGAAAGAAAATAAGAAAGAAAGAAAAAGAGCGAAAGAAATAAAAAATGAATGAATGAATGAATGAATGAATGAAGACGATAAAAAAAGAAAGAAGAAAAAGGATAGAAGGATGAAAAAAAGGGAACAGTAAATATAGCAGAACAATACTTCTAATCGATCTAATATTAAGTCGTAATTCAAATCAAGCCCAATTATTCTTTATCGAACAATTATTATGACACATTATTACGCATACTACAAATCGAATTATCGAAGATCGACAGAACAAACATGCACATATAAGTAGCATCTAATTATTATTGGTCGTCCCATCTAATATTGATATTTAGTATCGAGTTGATAGTTCATAGTAGATGTGTCTTCCAATACGGAAAAACAGACATGGACATCTTTTATCCCAATGTCTCATTCATCGGTTGTGTCCATTTAAATTCGGTTTTTTTTTTTTT